TACAGCTACTGTTTTCCCATCCTCAACCTCATAAATTTATTATTTTGCCTTTACTATTATTACTTTTTTAGATGTCCCTTGGTTTACTCTATCCTTTTTTTCCCTGGCTTTTTTGATGTAAATTTTGATGTACTTATTTTTATTATTTTGTTTTTATTGACATAAGTACTTCAGGATACTCTCCTCTGATCTTCTGTATCCTTGTTTTTGGTTGTTCACGTGAACCATCTTACAATGATAGTGTGTTAAATTCTATCGTTGGTGAGCTGCAATCTATGTCTCCTTGCATATCCTGTAGTTACTTCTTTTTTTTTTTAATTGAAGTGAACTAATTATGATACGTTTCAGGTGCACAACATAGTGAATGGACAACTCTGTGCATTATGCAGTGCTCACCGTGATAAGCATAGTCACCACCTGTCATACAATGTTACTAAAATGTTATTGACGATGTTCCCTATGCTATCCTCATCATCTCCGAGACTTATTTATTTCATAACTGGAAGTTCGCACTTCTTAATCTCCTTCCTCTGTTTTGCCCATCCTCCACTCCCCTCCCCTCTGGCAACACCAGTTTGTTCTCTGTATTTATGAGTCTGTTTCCATTTTTTGTTTGTCCGTTTGTTTTGCTGTAGTTACTTCTTTGTGAAGGAGAATGTTATATGGGGAATGTTATGTGGTGCTTACAACGCACATCTTTACGGTGAATTGTGGTTAATAACATTAAATGTGTCCTTCTGACAACTTGAGCAACAAAATAAAATGCAACCCAAAGTATAAAATGTCTGTAAGTCCACACTGATATAGTTAAATGAAAAAACAAGGAGGACAGACAACTCTCCCATACAGATTAATTCCAAATAATTGAGCTTCCTCCCCCTCAAGGAGTATCTTTTTTAAAATTTATTTATTTTTATTTAAATTCAATTAACATATAATGTATTCTTGGTTTCAGAGGTAGAGGTCAGTGATTCACCAGTCTTATATAATACCCCGTGCTCATTACGTCACACGCCCTCCTTCAGGTCCATCACCCAGTTGCCCCATCCCTCCAGCCCCCTCCCCTCCAGCAACCCTCAGTTTGTTTCCTATGATTAAGAGTCTCTTATGGTTTGTCTCCCTCTTTGATTTTGTCTTGTTTTATTTTTCCCTCCCTTCCCCTATGATCCTCTGTTTTGTTTCTTAAATTACTCAGCATTGAGGAGTATCTTAAGTGTGGGATATGCACAGTGACTTTCTCCCTGAGAGAATAATATGGAAAAGGGGAGGGGAAAAAAGGAACTTTACAGTGTAGAAGCCTGATGAACCCATCAGCCTAATGATCAGGTCAGCATCACCAATGATAAGTCAGCATCACCAATGATAGTACGTACCCTTGACATGATGTGATGAGAAGGACACTCCCCCTTGGTGGTCTTCGTCCAAAAAACCCATAACCCCAGTCTAACCATGAGAAAAAACATCAGACCTACCCAACTGCCTAATCAGTGCCCCTCTAAACTGTCAAGGTCATAAAAACGGGGAAGGTCAGAGAAACTGTCACAGCCAAGAGGAGCCTAAAGACACCCAACGGCTAAACGTAGCATGGTATCCTGGGTGGGATTCCGAAAAATAAAAAGAACATAAGGCAATATGAATGAAGTTTGGACTTTAGTTTACACTAATGCATCAATATTGCTTCATTAATCATGACACCCATACCAGAGGAACGTAGGGTGTTTGTTAATACTGGGAGGAATGGTGTGCTAATCCGCAGAATGCTGTGCTCTACTCAGTCTCCTTTCTGGGATTTTCACACTTAATGGAGCCATCCTCTCTGGGAATGATTTTAGGTCAGTTCTAGGCTCTCCATTCATCTCCTCTTCTTGACACAGATATTTCTGGACCTCACTTTGCTCTCTGAAAAGGGTAGAGGCAAGAGTTCAAAAGATACCTCCTTGAAAATCAAGAGTCTTTTCGGTAAAGGTAATTTGAAGTTTTTGCTCTTCCCTAACTTCTGACTATATTGATGTCAGAGGGGTTATGTGATTTTCTTCTTGTTGTTGTTGAATTCTATAGTTGTGAAAGAATGTACTTGAAGATTTAAATTGATAAGGACACCAGCTACCCTGGAAGTCTGGCGAATTTTTTCTCCAGCTTTAGTGAGATGTGAGCGTCCACTGACAGATGAATGGATGAAGAAATTGTGGTATATTCAACCATATAAAGACAGGAGTTCCTGTATTTTTGACAGCATAGATGGACCTTGAGGGCATTAAGCTAAATGAAATCAGCCAGACAGAGAAAGGCAAATACTGTATGATTTCACTTAGGTGGAATCTAAAAATATCAACTCCTAGAAACACAAAGTAAAATGGTGGTAGCCGGGGGTGGTAACCGGAGGGTGGAAGAAGTGGGCTGGTCAACGGGCATAAACTCTCAGTTACAAGACCAACACATTCTGGGGATCTAATGTGGAGCGTGGTGAATAGTCAACAATGTTGTATTGTATCCTTGAAAGTCGCTATCAGAGAAGAGCCTTTATGTCCTCACCATAACAACAGAACGGTAATTATGTGAGGTGAAGGATTTGCTAACTACCCTTATCATGATAAACATTTTGCAATATATATGTGAATCACATGATTACATGTACACCTTAAATTACACCCTATGTCAATTTTATCACAATAAAGCTGGGGAAAAAAGTAAATTGAAGAGGTAAATGTTGATATCTTCCCCATGTGGCATTCTCCCATTCAGAAGTACAGCATTTATTCAATCTTCGTGAACAGTTGTGTAGGTTTCTTTTTCAAGTTCTGCCTACCTCTTGTTACGTTTATTTAAAGGAATGGTATGATTTTGTTGATATTATAAGTGGGATTTTATTCTATTTTATTTTATTTTATTTTTTATTTAAATTTTAGTTAACATACAGTGCAATATTGGTTTCTGGAGTAGAATTCAGTGATTCATCACTTACACACAACACCCAGTGCTCATCACAACAAGTACCCTCCTTAATGCCCATCCCCCATCCAGCCCATCCCCCACCCACCACCCTCCATCAACCCTCAGTTTGTTCTCTATCGTTAAGAGTCTCTTTACGGTTTGTTTCCCTCTCTCCTTTCTCCCCCCTTCCCATATAGTCATCTGTTTTCTTTCTTAAATTCCACATGTGAGTGAGATATGGTATTTGTCTTTCTCTGACTTATATAAGTGGGATTTAAAAATTTTTATTCTGATTATTGCTCGTCTTAATAAAAATGGGATTTATTATGTACTAACTATGTGACTGTGGTTGGTTCCTGAACCTCTAACGGCTTCAATCTTTTAACAAAATTAAAGATATGAGATAATACCCATTTGAGAAGGTTCTTATGAGAAATAAATAGGACAATACATATAACACAGTTAGTATAGGATCTGGAACAGAGAAGTAGTCAATACATAAACTAATCTTACTACCGGTGGTGTATCTTGTACTTGTCAGGCCAGAAGTTTGGGCATGGCTCTTGCCTACTTTCCAGAATGTCCTGCTATCACGGGTCCACTGCAGTGCAGCCAGTCCCCTGGAGAATGAGAGGGAGCCCTGGCTTGCATGCCTCTCAAAGGGGCAAAGGACACAGTGCTCCCTGTTCTCTCACCCCGAGGCTCTGCCCCCCACTTCCGCTCACAGCGGGAACCCAACACAAAAAGGAGAGTTGTCTCAGGGCCAGAATGTCAGGGCTAGACCATACTTGCCGAATAATTACATCCAACCCCCTCAAATTGAGTAGACAACTGAGGCTCAGGGAGGGAAAGACGTTTATCTGAGGTCATCCAGCAAGGGGGGAAGCTCGGCACTAGAACACAGGTTCCCTGACTCCTAAGCCTGTGCAATTTCAACTCCATCCCAAATTCTTTTTCTGGGAGAGCTTCCTTGTTCAAGGGCAGTGAAGCCGGTGGGGCAAAAGCAGAGCCCTGAGGTCGTTCGAGTTTGCCTAACACACACCCTCCACGGTCTGCACCATTCGAATCTGCCTGCCCCCACCCTGTGCGTCTCCGGAGGACACGATTCACCACCCACGCTAAAGGATCAAGGGCTTGGTGTGTCCTGGCTCCTCATTCACATCTTAAAAATAGAAAGCTGGGGGACGGACGGTATGGCTTAACCCAAAGGAATTAATTGTTAATGGAGGCATCTCAGGCAGGAACAGGTGAAATGCTTCAAGAGCGGGGATTTCCCTGCTTCTTTCTGTGGCCTCTTGGGAGGATGTGGAGCCCTGGGGAACATGAAAAGGAAAGGCGGGAGGGAGCTACAGGGTTAGCCACTAGGGTAGGTTGGTCCCGCTGGCAGGGCTGTCGATAGCTAGGTCAGGTCACGGGGTCGATGGGAGAGGAAAGAAACAGCCTGCAGTTTGTGTCCTGCTTAGTTTCTTATTTCCCTGGGCTTAGGGCAAAGGCAGAATTCCCTAGTGAGATGCAGACTCCGGGTCTGGGGTCGATTAGTGGATTTCTAGTATTAAGCCCCAGGAATGGGCCCCTTGTTTCGGCCTCTGCTCTCCTTCACACCCAGCGGGGAGAGGGAGTCCCAGCCCCCCACCCATCTCCCTGGGGTGCCCGGGAGCACAGGAGTTAGCAGAGCCAGAAGCAAACAGTGCACAAAGTCGTCTTTTATTACGAAGTCAAGGAGAGAGGCAGCCAAGCCCAGACTTGGCATCCTGAGCAGGAGGCGGAACGCCCAGGGAGGGAGAGGGCCGTGCGACAGGGGCCCGGACCAGCAGCCCTGGGGACTTCCCAGGTGCAGCAAGGACAGGCTCCACCTGGCTGGGAGAGAAGAGCACAGGAGAGGTGACTCAGCCGCTCAAAGCACTCAGGGGCAGTGGGGGGCAGGGTCACGTCCAGGTGGCAGCCCTTTCAGGACTCGGTCACAGGCTCTGAGACCCTCAGCCCTCTCTCTCACCCAACCGGGGTCATTCCCCATTGCTCAGCCTTCTCTGTTGTCTCAGGGTCCTCTCTTCCTCCACCTGGTTCTCACCTCACTGGGGATCCAAGCAGGCCAGCCCACAAGTGCCCTTACAGCACTTCTTGGCCCCCGGGCACTCGGTGTCGCTCAGACAGCGGTTCGGGGGGTTTATCATGGCGCACTGGATCAGAATGTGGGGGCAGAAGCCAGGCTTAGTGGACACAGGACCTTTGGCTTTGACTGGATCTTGACCTCTAACTGGATCTTGTCCTTTGACTGGAACACGACCTTTGTCAGTGCCTTGCCCTTTAGGAGGAACTGTTGAAAGAACAAATGTCACCACATGTAGTCCCCGTGAAGTGCCTGCTTCACTCTCTAGTCTTTCTTCCACGTCCAGCCCCTGCTCACTGCTGTGTTGTCCAAACTGCGGCCTGAGGTGGGGCAGGGTTTTCTGGGCTAGCTGCGGTCTGTGCCCCGGGAAGGCTGTGCCCCAGGCTTTGGGGAGAGGATCTACAAAACCACGGTTCCCTTGGGTGTCCATTTATCCCCCCACCCTCCATGACAAGTCCTTTCAGAAGGAGAGGCCAGACTGGAGTGACTCGCAGAGGTGAGAAGGACACATGGCGCTCTTGGGGGAGAGGGGAGAGCCTGAGACACACACCAGGAGGCCCAAGCTCCTTCCCGGCTCTGAAGATTGTCTGGATAGTGTCCTCCCTCATAAAATGGGGGGTCTTCAAACTACATGGCTTCTGAGGTCTCCTTGGTGTGTAACCTCCTTTTAGAGGCTGATTACCCAGATACCTTCAGGGGGCAGACAGGCAGGGGCCAGACCCCACACCCAGGCCCAGATTCCTGGGGCTCCTCACTTCACTGCACATTCTGCCCAGGTATCCACACCTGAGGCCATGACCATGTAGCAACACTTCTTCCAGCAATAGTCCTGATGTGGAAAGCATGTCGATTCTACTGGACAACTTCCTGCTCTCTCTGGATGCAGTGGAAGCAGCCACAGACAATCCATGGGCGCCTGGGTGGCTCAGTTGGTTAAGCGTCTGCCTTCGGCTCCGATCATGACCTCAGAGTCCCAGGATCGAGTCCTGCATCAGGCTCTCCACTCAGCAGGGAGTCTGCGTCTCCCTCTGCCCCTCCCCCATCATGTGCTCACTCGCTCTCTCACTCTCTTGAATAAATAAAAATTTTTAAAACAAAGTGTGAGATCCAGCCCTGCCCACTGCCCCAGAGTGCTTCTTGGCAGGGCCCCACCCAGCCTCACCCAGGCCACTTGTCTACTCACCTCTGGTGACAGTGGCCTGTGCCACCAGAATCCCCAAGATAAGGAACACCACCAGGACGAAGAAGCTGCTGGGCCTCATGTTGTCTCAAGTGTGTGGCTACAAGCTGAAGTTGACCCATTTTATGCAGCCCAGCGTGGCCTGGAGCCAGGAGGGTGGGTCTGTGGTTTTCTATGAGACAACACCTACATTTCCTAATTCTACCAGGAAGGATCCACCCCTATTCTGGAAGGGACCTTGGGGCTTTCCCCAAGGATTTTTCACAAAGATAAATGGCAGACACTGTGTTGCATCACCTCTGATAGCCCCGAGAGCTGTCTCACTTTCTCACAGAGAAGAAGGGCTGGCTGTGGGCCCGGTGTTCTGATTTCAAAGCCGAAGATTTCCCCCATCACTCCCTGTTCCTGCAGGCCCACCCAGACCTACCCTAACCGTTCACCCTTTCCAGCCTCAAGCTGGGCTTTGCTTTCATGCCCTCTTGGCCCTGAGGAAAACTTTCGAAGGCAAATTTGCCTTGAAAATCTAATGACACATCACTACACGGGTCATCTCTGAGATGCACCACATAAGTAATCAGGAAGGTGGGATTCTAGATCTCATATAACAATGCTAATTAAAATAATGCTGGGTGAAAAATTCAAGTCTCAAGAGAAAATATTTTGAATTATAGGCTTGGGTATAAGGTTCAAAACTAAGAAACACTAATAGATTGTCTAGACATACTTATATATGTGGTACAACTCATTTATGCAGGGGTGGATGAAAATGAGGAAGCTATTCACACAAAATCTGGGATAGTGATTACTCTGGAAAGGAGGCAAGAAACATTCTGGATGGGTGGGAAGGACTCAGGTTGGTTTAAGTTTTTGGTTCTTGGTAACACACGTGTGTATGTGTGTGTGTGTGTGTGTATTTCCAAGGCTGTGGGGTAAATAATTTATGGATTATGGATTACCTTCGCTTTCCATAAACCCACAGTGTTGCTCTCCTGGGTGGTTTTCAGTCTTTCACTATAACAAACTATACCCCACATGGCTTTTTGCATTAACTACTTGTAAGCTAGAGTCCCAGAAGTAGGTTTGCTGGTACAAAGATTCAATGCATTTGAAATTTTTTTCTAGTTTATTACAGTATATTGAATGGATTGTATATATATTTAATGTGTACAATATGATGTTTTACTATACATGCACATTATGAAAAGATGGCCACAATCAAGCTAATGAACATATCCATCAACTGATATAGTTACCATCTTTCAGATGCTTTTGAAATTTTTATATTCTTGTCTTATGTCCTTTGATCTGGGTTGTACCATTTTGTACCCATACCAGTAGTAGATGAAACCACCTGTGTGCATCCAGGCTTTGGCACAGACAGTGTGTTTCATTTGTTTTGTTTTGTTTTGTTTTACCAATCTGATAGGTGAGAAATCATGCCTTGCTGATGTTTTTAGTTAGCATTTCTCTCATTTTCATTTTTGCATATTTTAGAAGCCAGTTAATTTCTTTTTCTGAAAGCTTCTTTTCCTTTGCTCACTTTTTAATAGATTCATCAGCCTTTTTTCTTCTTAATTGTTACGCACTCTTTATATATTATGGAGCAAGGTCCTTTGTGGTATGGTTTGCAAATAAAAAAATTTAATGCCATTCTAAGATCTGTTCAGAACAGCTCAGGGTGCTCTCCTCTCCTCATCTTATCTGGACGTTCCCTCCTATTGTTTGGCTACAGTGCACATAGTGAGAGCATGTTTTTAATATGGTTATATTAAACAAATCTGGCTATACTATATTAAGAAGACTGCACGTCATATTAATACAGATTCACTGAAGAGTTGATGGGGGGTTAGAGGTTAAGAAGGTAGAAGGAGAAAAAAGGCAAATAAAAAGAAACAAAAAAGTATTGCTTCACCAAAAAAACTTATCATGTCTGGTGTGATCCTATTATATTTATAAATATATTAGAAAAAGAATGAATATCGCTAGATCTCTGTGCACTGAATCCTAGAAATATTCATGAAATCTTACCAGCAGGAAAACAACTTAGAAGATAATATATGTGTTTGATAATACTTCAGTAGAAACACATAAAAGTGCTATAAATGCCTTTATTCATGTACGAAAGAGGAGAAAGATATGAAGGAATACATACTACACTGTTAATATTGCTTACATCAGGGTGATGAGAATGGGAAAGAAACCCAGATGAGCAGGTTTTCCTACTAGTTTCTAATTTTTTTACTTGTCACAACAAAAAGTCACTGCTGTGATCTGAAATATCGAAGAAAATTAAAATCGGTAATTAGAAAAAAGAACTCAAGGAATCTTGTGAATGAAGAAAACAGTATAATTGACAATTATATCTAAATAAACAATGAGATACATGTAACCAGTAATACCAGTGTTGAGAAGGAATGCTTAAAATAGAAGTGTCAAAATGTAAAAATGTAATAGTGTGTGTCGGGTATGATTCAGATGCCGTCCAAAGAAATCATTCTAGGTAGTTCAAGCAGAAAAAGAATCCAGCTATTGTATGAGTATGTGTGATTGTAGGAACTTGAATCCCATCTGCAGTTCTGGATGCGGAAGAGTCTGGGACAGATAGTCACTGGATTGCCAACCGCTACAGGGAGACATGCTGGGAGCAATTGAAATTCACATTGATGAAGACACTGCACAGAGCATGCCACCATCCTGCCACTGTTCACGCCCCGATCCATCCCCTACTTACGCTTCCAAACATCAGCAAATATTCACCTCCCAGAAGGAAAAGTGCCCACCTTGAGCAGGTCTGAGAACAAGAAAGGTAGAGCACAAGTACTGGAAAGTGTAGAGAGAAAAGAAATAAGAAAATGCACCCGGGAGAAGGAGGAGGCATATTTAGGAGAGAAGTTATCATCTTGCAATGGCTACAGCAATATCTCTTTGGCCATGGCTGATGGTAGGAGCCCTCCTGTTTCAGACGAGTTACTTAAGAATCAGGAGAAGTCCACGTATTGAAGGAACTGCCCATTATTGTAGCAACGGAGGAGGGAGCCCTTGAGCTAAGAAACTAAGAAACCCATTCTAACTTCCCACCCCTCCTACTCAGGTAAGATACTCTTCACTAGCTGGTCCGTGAAAATCTACTGATTTTAAAATAAGAAAGAAATGTGGAAATCACATAAGCCATACAAAAATACTATTTTTTAAAAGCGGAAATGAGTAGCAAAGCTTAAAAACATTTAAAACAGGATTTTTTAAAATAATTTTTTATTGTTATGTTAATCACCATACATGACATCATTAGTTTTTTTTTAAAGATTTTATTTATTTATTCATGAGAGACAGAGAGAAGCAGAGGGAGAAGCAGGCTCCCCGCTGAGCAGGGAGCCTGATGTGGGACTCGATCCCAGGACCCTGGGATCATGACCTGAGCCGAAGGCAGACGCTTAACCATCTGAGCCACCCAGGCGCCCCAACATCAGTAGTTTTTGATGTAGTGTTCCATGATTCATTGTTTGTGCATAACACCCAGTGCTCCATGCAGAACGTGCCCTCTTTAATACCCATCACCAGGCTAACCCATCCCCCCACCCCCCTCCCCTCTAGAACCCTCAGTTTGTTTTTCAGAGTCCATCGTCTCTAATTTAAAACAGGATTTTTAAAATCTTCAGTAAAATGTCACCACAAACCTGAAAAAAATGGATGGATATTCCAAAATGAATGTCTAAAATTACCGAAGTAAATTGAAACTATGAAGAACCACCATAAAGCAGAAATATAGAAATTCAAAGAAGAAATAGCAAGGTAACAGGAAGATGTGGAGTGAAATCTGACAGACCTCAGGGGAGAGATTGAAGACAAGAACAAAAACATTGCAGAAATAAAGACCAAGTAAGGACAAAAGGAAAGAAAATAAGAAAAGCAAAGAACCACAAACTAAAAATGAAAAATAGCTTTAAAATGATTTCAGAGAAAGTCTTCAGTATAAAAAGGCACTAGAGACGCAACAGACATATAAATCAAGTTGCACAAAGGAGAAAACCAAAATACACACACACACACACACACGCACACACAAGAAGAAAACCAAAACAGCAAAATAAAAGAATTATTTAAAACCCTAATTGAGGGGCGCCTGCGTGGCTCTGTTGGTTAAGTGTCTGCCTTCGGCTCAACTGAGCGGGGAGCCCGCTTCCCTCTCTCTCTCTCTGCCCGCCGCTCTGCCTACTTGTGCTCTCTCTCTCTATCTCTCTGTCAAATACATAAATAAAATCTTAAAAAAAAATAAAACCCTAATCGAGGAAAATATTTCTGAAATTAAAGCAGGCTCGAGTCTATGTATTGGAAGTTCACACCGTGGTAAACACAGACGCATGCGAGTAAAACGCTTGGGCTGTAAAGATAGACATAGAAACCTCCAGGAACGCAACTCCCCTCAAAAACCAAAAACAAAAACAAAATTGGGAAAAAAAATCAGATGGAATGATGGCCAGAAAACAGCAGAGCAAAACTTAAAGGCATTGAAGGAAAGAGTACACACTGAGGATTTTTTTTGCACAACTACAAGAATATATTTCTGGACATGCAAGAACTCAAGGAATCTTGTTTCCAAGAGCTTTCCTGAGCAGTTTCTAAGGGACAAGATACAACCCAACCCGGAAGATTTGTGGAAATTACTAAAATGACAATTGTTGAGCACTGGGCATTTTAACTGTGGAATAAAGACTAAGACAAAGTAGTAGCAAATAGTATGTAAATATGCCTTGCTGTGAAAATGTAGAGATAGTAAAATTTCCATCAAATAGAAGGATGATAGGGAAGGAAGTTGGATTAAAGAGTAAGCTCGCTGATTGCTATATATGTAATGGTTTCAAGTCAAAGGATATTTAAAACACAGGGAGCTTCAACAGAATTAACCCCTTTTGTGCATCAAAGAACACTACCAGGATAGTGAGAAGACCAGCTGCTGGGAGAAAAGATTTGCAAATCTGATATCTGATTAGGGCCTAGTATCCAGAATATATAAAGGACGTGTACAATTCAACAGTAAAAAGATGAAACAACCCAATTTTAAAATGGGCAAAGCACTTGAATAGG